CACAAGCATTAATTCCTTCAATTGCTCTTGCATTTGTATCATTGCACTCTTAATTTCAAAAAGCTCTTCTATGTTAATACTTAGAAAATAAATGTCTAATATTGCTTAAGACAAATAGAAGAAAGGACTTGAAAACAAAGAAGATACTAAGAACAATATTAGTTTAGAAGAGGGTAATCTGCAACTTCTAATATGCTTATGTCTTATCAAGAAAAAAGGATAATCTACTCTTAATTAAGAGAAGACAAAATTCTAATATTGTAAGTATACTCTTGTCAATCTGTCAAAGACATGAATTGGAAGAAGATGCATAAACTTGAAAACTTATAACAAAAAAAAAAAAAAAAAATTGAAATAAAAAAATATATGTATTAATAGGAAACTAGAATGGCTATTGCTAAAAAAACAAAGAAATTAGAGACTCTTAAATCTAGACTAAAAGCAAGAAAAGAGTTGACAAGACTGAAGAAGGCTTCACTCTTGCCTCTGTATATATTATCTAATTAGAATCTACATGGCCATGTTCTATAGGACCTCTAATATGTATTGACTTTACGAGACGCATGCCTTAGCTTACAAGGTAAATTTTCTACCTGTAGGCTATATAATTAGCTTGTTCTTCAAGCTACTAATGTGTGTGGCACATGGCCAACTTGTTGACCATGTTTTTAATCTAATAAATCAATTAAAGACACCTATAAAGTCAAAGTAAGCATCTATGAAGCTTTTAAGAAGCTTGTATAGAAGATATTATAGAATTGACCTACTTTTACTTAATATTGTCTAAATCATATAAATAATTATTGATTTATATATGTATGTCTATGACAAAAGCTTTATAGAAGCTTCATAAATGATGCTTTAATTTTATACATATTTATAGCTAATTGATAAGCTAGAAACTTAATCAATAAGTTAACCATGTATCACACATATTAATAGCTTGTAGAACAAGCTAATTATGTGGCTCATATATAGAAAACTTGCTTTAGAAGTTACAATGTCATGTATCTCACAATATCAACACGTGTTAGAGGTCCTATAGAATATTACAATGTAGCTCCTATTTAGAGAATATATATGGAGATAATAGTGAAGTCTTCTTTACTCTTATTAATGTCTTTTTAGTCCTTAGTCTTATTTCAAGTCTTTCTAATATCTCTAATACATATTAACTTTACTATTTGTTTCACTTGTATTTTATAATAGCTATTCTAGTTCAATACATTACTATCTTTGAATAATTTTGTAGTCTTTTCAAGTCACATAAAAATATATTGAAGTTTTTTTTTTTTTTTTTTTTTTTTTTGAAGATTTATATCTTTAATAGGGATAGGAATGGGATTAGAAGATGGAAACATGGAATATGAACAAGGGATAAGGGATGGAAACAAGATTTAGAAATGGAAAGAAAGAACAAGGAATGAGAATGAGAGATGGGAATGAGATTGGAGGATGGAAATAGGAAATAGGAATAAGAGATAAGAGATAGAAAGTAGATACAAAAATGAGAACAAAAGACAAGAAATAAAAACAAGGGAAGAAAGATGGAAAAAAAATGAAGCATAAGATAGCAAAGAAGAATGTGACTTTAATAAAATTAGAATATGGCTTTAATAACTCTTTAAAAAAATTATAAAATAATAATGGTCTAATTTAGTTTGCTACCACATACAATAACTATCATACAAAATTATACTACAACATAATTATTTTTATGTAATCAAGGATATTAATGCCAAAAGTTACAAGCTAAAACTAAAATTTTCTATCATTATATGGAAGATATTTTTCAACAAAAAATCTATGAAAAAAAAAAAAAAAAAAAAAAAAAAACTTGACAAAAAATATGTCATTTTCTTCATCTTTGTGTACATTCTACCTTCCAAACACATAAAGAGCATACATATCTCTAATAGAATTGATCAATTTAATAATTAACATATTTATAAGCATTCAATTATACTTAGATAAAAATTTAAATTTATAAAAAAAAATACTATTTCATTTTTATGTAGACTTTTAAAATCATTTACAAAAATAAAAATAAAAATATCACAATTTATTTCTTCTTCTTCTTCTTCTTCTTTTATCAGGGAGGAATAATTCATATCTATGAAAATGCATTGGATATCATAATTAATCTATATTTTTGTATAACCTTCCAAGAAAACACTTAAATGTATGTATATACATTGTTATTCTTATTACAATGGATGTATATATATATATATATATATATATATATTGCTTTTACTTGTTAACTAGTCAATATATTTTGTATGAAGACAATGTGGCTGTTATATACTTAGAAAATAAAGCACAAGTTGTTGATAGTATTTCTTGTTAGATATCTCTATTTAGAGTTCAATTCTACATTAGTGTACAATTTAGAATACTCATCTATGACAGCAAATACATTTTCTGAAAATTCAATAAAAGAACCCTTTACAAATATGTTAACATTTCATTTATATATATATATATATATATATATATATATATATGGAAAAAAATATAATTTTTTTAAAGATGAAATATCTTGAGTTTCTACTCTCATTAAGGATATTGTTTGACAGTAATGCTGTAATATTTGTACAGTTTCAGTTAGAAAATATTTTTTATAAATATTAAAGAATTTATTGCTAGTTTTTACTAAATCGTATGTATAGAATGTGCTACTTAGCAGTAGTGTTTAAATTATGTTTCAGGTAATTTTTGCAATAAGTTTTATTTTTTTAGAAAATTTTATGGAATTATGAATTCAATTTCACAGTCTAATTTCTTACCAGAACCAATTTAATTTCCAAATGGAAAATCAAACTCAGAAACTGGTCTTTATTAACCAACATGATAATATAGATTTATATTTATATTTATTGATAAAAATATTTTAAAGGTCTAGTTCAAAATTTAACTTTTAACCTGAGACTATCATAACTCACACTGTTATTCACTAAGAATGTTTTTATTTATTATGTTCACAATGTTCACATAAGTTGTTTTTTAATCACCATTTCTACAAAAGATTATTTATTTTTTTATTTTTTATCTTGATTTTTTATTCTTTTAAGAAAAATAGAAACTAATATTCACTTGTGATTAAACTACACCAGATGTATGTATGTTGAAACTATGAACTTCACCCAGTGTATGCTGAAACATACATTTAAATATATTAGATTTAAAGCCAATTCAAAATGTATGGGTTCATTTCATTTATTCAATATTTTTTGATATAAAACTATATGTAATATTCTACATTGACTTAATATATATTTAAGTAGAAATCATGAAATTTAAGAAAAATTTCAAAATGTGATGATGAAAATGATTATAAAAATAATAGTAATAATAATAATATGATTAATATTAACAAAAATACACATGTAATTAGCAAAATTAATACTTGGATTTGACTAAATTTGTTAAGAACTTTATATTTTAAATCTTATTGTAAACATTGTAACTCTTAAACCTAAAGATCAGAATGGGTCACTTATTAAAATTAAAACTAACTTTTGGTTCTTGCACCTTAAATGTATGCATTAATAATCAAAGTTACATGTATGAGCACTCTAGTAATTAGTTTGTTTAGAAGAGTCTAATTGGTGTATCAACATATGTATGCATGTAAGTATGTATGTATATATACATATTATGGGTTATTATAACTTTAGCCATGACTTTAAATTAGTAATAATAATTTATTGCATATACATAAATTATCATATTACATCTAATTGGAATTGTATGATTGAATGTATATATATATATATATATATATATATACATATGTTCTTAATTTTCTAAAAAAATGTGCAAATATTTGGATTTATCATTAATTATCAACAAAATATTGTGCATAAAAGTGAGCACATTCACTAATACAAAACAAAAGATTATTTTTCTTGAGAATACATAATTATTCCATAAAAAAATAAAAAATAAAAATAAAAAATACAAAGCATAAAGCTACAATTTCCTATAACTAAGATGCATAATATATGGCCTTTTATAAAACCAACACCAAAACAACAATATTCAAGGAATATATTCTATGAAAATATATAAAATTTAGTATTTATGTATAATAATGATACTTTTTTCTAATTGATTGCAGGGTTTCAAAGTGTTATTTTATTTTGATACATCCTATATTCAATAAAAATAAAAATAAACTATTTATTTGTAAACAAAACATCCAACATAATTCTTGATAGATAATTCATAGGAAATTGTAGCTATGTATATATATATATATATATATATTTATTTATTTAACATATTTTTCAAAATTGCAATTAGATAAAAGTCAAATTAATTTGTATTATTTTAATAAAAAATCATGACTTTATTTAGTGTACATTCAACCATTATCTAAAAGTCACAACAATTTGCAAGGACCATCTACTCCCACAAAGACACATGTCACTACCACTTGAATTCAAAATAGTGTGTATATATCTACATCTAGACAAGTAGTGCTCTTCATCGCCTTCTCCTTCTTCTTTCTTTTCGTCATATGATTTTATTCCAAGAGGATTTCATATTACCCACATGAGCCCCTAAAAGGAGGATGCAAGCAAGCAAGTAAGCACGGACCCAGGGCCACAAAGCCACAAGATGTGGGGCAAGCAAAGGGCAAGTGGGAAGGAAAGGAAGGGCACTACCACTACTACAACTATTACCCCACTAGGGCTCTATAGAGAGTAGTGCCAGTAGTAGCAGGTAATGAAGGAGGGAGAAAAATAAACAACACACTAATAGGGCGCCACGGCACTTATCCATAATTGGTACTCTCCTAAAAGCATGGCTCGGAGGAGGATATTAAAGCACTCCTCCCCCACCCAGCCCCTACATCTACGCTCCCCTCATGTGCCCTTCCTTCTTCCTATCTACCCATATAGTACATCCTTCGTGGCCATATCTACTAGTGCAGCCCATGGCCGGCTCTTACGGTTGCGCGCTGAAGGGCAAACAAGACGAATGGGGATGATGGGAATGGGGATGGGGATGGAAGGAGAATAGGGCAGCGTTCCCCTCTGCCCCTCTCTCTCTCGCTCTCTCTCCCTCTCCCTCCCCTTGCCCTCGTCCGCCATCGCCATAGCCACAACTCACACCCTCTCCCTCTCCCCCCCTTCCCCTCCTCTTCCCCACCTCGCTACCTACGACGACTCTCACTCTGCTTGTTTACTCGTATGCGTGCCTGTTTGCTGGCTTGCTTGCAGCGGCCATGATACGCCGGTGGACGTGACTAGAGTAGAAGAGAGGAGAGGAGAAGTTGAGAGCGAGAGAGAGAGAGAAGAAGAAGAAGAAGAAGCAGAAGAAGAAGAGGAGAATAGGAGGAGATTCGACGACGGAGGAGGGCGCGATGCGAGTTGGAAGACGGGGATAGTCATTGGAGGAAGGGGCGGAGGTGTATTGGAAGTGTGAGACGCTAGGGTTGCGGAGATCCGGTAGCGGGTAGCGGGTGTGATGTGATGTAGATCGGAGGTTTCGGCATCGGTTGCGAAGTGGAAAGCAGGGTGTGGGAGAGTGCGTGTGAGAGAGAGAGCGAGAGGAGCAGACGATAGCGATAGAGCAGCGGAGGTGTGAGAGAGTTGAAGGGGGTGATTGGCATGGGTAGTTGTTTGTGAGCGTGTTGGTTGTTGGTGGAAGTTGAAGGGGTTGTCGAGGACGGAGAGAGAGAGAGAGAGAGAGAGAGAGAGAGAGAGGTGTTGTTTAGGGGAGGCATGCGGGAGCAGGATTGGTGTTAAGTTCGTAAGGAGAAGGGAGTACATGCAAGTGCGTGCTTGTCGGATATCGGACAGCTGGATTTGTAAATAAGCGGAGAGGAGGGTCGGTAATCAGGGGCGTACATCGATGGAGCCGCGTGTGGGAAACAAGTATCGGCTGGGACGGAAAATTGGGAGCGGTTCCTTTGGGGAGATCTATCTTGGTAAGTCTAGATCGCCGCCTGGTATGTTTGCTGACTGGCGCACGGTTTGTTGATGGCCATGAGATCTTGTTATCGTTGCCAGATGGGTTTTGTGTATTGCCCTAGGTGTCGATGTGTGCATGTGTCCACTTCCTGGACGCTGCTGCCATTGGGAAATGATTTGGTAGAGTTTTATCGAGGAGGTTTAAGCAGATGGAAATTAGGGGTGCCGGACATGCAACCAGATCTGAGCCTCTCCGTGTTTTATGGAACTGCCAATCTATTTGTGCAGTGGATTGTCTGCCGTCAGTAAAGTATTGCATTTGGCTTTGCTCAATTAGATTACATGCCCTACAGCTCATCTTAAATTTGGCATTCGGAAGACCCTAGGTGAGTGTTGAGACTTCATCTTGAATTCCAGAGTGATTGACATGAATTTTTCATCTCTACTTTAGGGACCAATGTTCAGACCAATGAGGAGGTCGGAATAAAGCTGGTATGTAAGCTCGGCCTGCCTGTGTTTTGCATTATTAAGCTGCGTGCTCAATGCTCGAAGAAGTAATTGTTTTGAATGTTTGAATTACCGAGGCATGCGTTCATGTATCCATATCCTGGACCAATCTATTCAAATTTGCTAAAGTGGAAATATTTGAGCTCGCGCATTGAATTTCGTTTGTGCTTCTATTCGCACTCTTTGTGGTGCGGTGAACCGGCTGCCCCACGTGTATGGAATGAGGGAATTGTCGGTTGGAATCGTATGTCAAGGGCGTGCCTGGACTGTTTGGAAGAGTTGTAAATGGCATTTTACTTTACTATGTGACTTATGGTCAATTGTGTGGCCTAATGGTTATGGACACAATTCTAGCGAAATCAGCCCTTTCTTGGATTCTATTGCATTCAACACAGTGTGGCGTTTTTTTATTTCTATCCAGGAAAGCATCAAGACGAAGCATCCACAATTGCTGTACGAGTCCAAGCTCTACCGGATACTACAAGGAGGAAGTAAGTAGCTTTGTATTCACTATCACGTGCAGAATGTTGCTTCTACGTGTAGTAAAACCCCTGGAGAGCCCACGTGTTGTGGCTGGAAAACCCTTGCAAGCTACTCTGACACGTGAATGCTTTATAAGAAGTCTCAATTAGGATAGAAAGTGGGTTCTGCTACTCTGTAGCTTTCATTGGGAGACCTACTTGAATTTCTAGTAGCAGATGTCTCGATTTGTTTAAATGCTGCACTGGGATGTTTAATATCAAGTTTTAGGTAGTGATCGCTGTGGTCTTATTTCCACATTTTTTCGAGGACTATTTCCTATGCGAGACAATGCGAGTTCAGTCTGATGCTTATGAGATTATGCCTTCGCAATTTCGGAATTCCTCAGCTCTTGATTATCAATCCTTTGATTACTTGATGGCGTGCACTACTTCCTACAGCCACAACATGCCTTTCATAATTAAATCCCATGTAGAAAATAATTCAAGTTTTAATAGAGATTAGCCTTGCTTCTCTAGAAGTAATTTATGGTCCGCCGAGACGGCACTTCTGGAGGCAATATTCAATCTTCTCCTTCATCATGAAATTCCATTAAATTGTGCTCGTACATTTTATACTCACTGTATTTGTCTATCATTCAATGTTCATGCGCTAGTATTCGGAGACTCTTTTTTGGGTTAACCTTTCGACTTTGTTCTGTTTTAGCTGGGATTCCCAATATCAGATGGTTCGGGATAGAAGGAGACTACAATGTCTTGGTTCTGGATCTGTTGGGGCCAAGTCTCGAAGACCTTTTCAACTTCTGCAGCCGGAAGTTCTCTTTAAAGACTGTTCTCATGCTTGCTGACCAGCTGGTGTGTACATGATCTGGACTTCTCTAGTTTTACCTTCAGTTTTCTCAGTTCTATTTTATTTTTATTTTTTTCATTTTGTATTTATTTTTATCGGTTTTATAGGAATTGAAGCATGTTATGGACAGCAAGTAAATCCGTGTGTACTGTTCTGTTCATGTAGATCAACAGAGTGGAGTATGTGCATGCGAAAAGCTTTCTTCATAGAGACATCAAGCCTGATAATTTTCTAATGGGGCTTGGTAGGCGAGCAAACCAGGTATTTTAGAAAATTCGGCTTTTGGACCCATCGATCGATGTCATCGTTGGCTTAAGCTTCTGTGCTTATCTACCCACTGGGCAGACATACTGAAGTTAAGATTGTCTTAAGATAGATTGAAAACTTCGTAAAGCATGAAGTGTTTAGGTTATTTGAGTACTGGGTTATTGTGATCAGCGATCGTGACGGACCAAATGAGATGTATCCGTGTGTAAGAACACGCCATTGGAATGCATTTATATCTCTTAATATGCGCATCGATAATCCCTACAGGTCTACATTATTGATTTTGGTCTTGCCAAGAAGTACCGCGACCCTTCCACGCATCAGCATATTCCCTACAGGTTGATCTTTGTTTGTTTGCGCAACGTCTACTTGTACCATCTAATTTTCTAGTGGAATGCTATTTTTGATACATGTTGCACCTGTTTGTATCAATAACCCTGAGCCTCTGTCAAATAGGGAGAACAAAAATCTGACAGGGACTGCTCGGTATGCAAGCATCAACACTCATCTTGGTATTGGTAAGTTACACTTAATCTGTACTGCCTTTGAATCACCCGTGTTTTCTCTCTTTTATGATCGCATCATTAATGATATTTTATTTGCACCATTTGAACAGAGCAAAGCAGACGAGATGATTTGGAATCTCTTGGATATGTGCTCATGTACTTCCTGAGAGGCAGGTGAGTCCGATGATGAAACTTCATCCTATTTAAAAAGATCAATCCATTTGAAAAATATGCCGCGAATTTGTACAATTTTCGTTCTATATAACCAATTCAATGTGCTTCTCCAAATGAGGTTACATTTTCATGTTTTAAGTTACGAATTCTTCTAAACCGTTGTAGCTTTGCGGCTAGAATGCATCAATATTATCCATATTCAAAGTTGGTTTGGTTTATGTGATCTAGTCTTCCATGGCAAGGACTGAAAGCGGGAACCAAGAAGCAGAAGTACGAGAAGATCAGTGAGAAAAAAATGTCCACGCCCATTGAGGTACTAACTTATCATACTGTTTATTCAAAGTGGATCTAAAATCATTTCTTTCTTACGTATTTAAGTACTCTGCATCGGGGTGAGGTGGTTGTCTCACGCGTTATGTCTGCATATTCCATTTTGAAATGTTACCTTACTTTCATCTTGACATACGTGTTCAGGTCCTTTGTAAAAATTATCCTTCAGAATTCGCCTCGTACTTCCACTACTGCCGGTCCTTGCGTTTTGATGACAAACCCGACTATGCATATTTGAAAAGAATCTTCCGTGACCTCTTTATTCGTGAGGGTATGAAAACTGTAACTTTTGTAGGTTTCACTCTTGCTTGGGCATTGTAATGTATCAAGACTTGATCCTAAGCGCAGACTTTACTATGCTCTATCAACGAACAGATAGTTTGTGAATGTTTGATGATTTTCAGTTTATTACAGTGCCACTTCTGCTTGCCTAAACTGGAAATAGTTTTACAGGTTTTCAATTTGACTACGTTTTTGACTGGACAATTCTGAAGTACCAGCAGTCACAAATTTCCGGTGGCAGTTCAACTCGACTGGTATGTGAAATATCACGTAGAGTTGTTTTGATGATTTCTGTCCGTTGATTGCTCTCTGGTTTGTGAATTGAAGTCTTTTCATAGGTGTAGCCGTGAGTTTAAATATCGTAATGTGACAATTGTAGGTGCTAGTTTTTGGATGACCCCTCCCACTTGGTTTGAATTCTTTCCTTGTCCAAGTTTGAATGTGTTCCTCACGTGAATGGTCGATATTGAATATATTAACGTTTTTCTCGCTAGCAGGGTGCTTCTGCAGGGCAAACCAGTGGTGCACTTGGAACTGGGGCTACAGGAAGCCGAGACCTGCAGCGGCCCACCGAACCAATGGATCCTTCTCGGCGCAGGCTTCCTGGAGGAGCAAATGGCTCCGGGGTCGCAAATGCTTTGGACTCATCTAAGCACAAAAGTCCTGGACTTGATGAATCTGCTAAGGATTCTGTAATTTTCGGAAGCTCTTAATCCCATACTCTTAATTGTGGTTTGATAGTTTTCGAGGTCTAAAGAAACTTTAGTCTTGAACCTTCCTAAATCAATTTTAGAAATGTCAATGCACTCAACAAAGATTGTGACCATACTTCGACATTCAAAAAATTTCTTTTATCTTAGCCAACTTTCTAAGAATATCACGCTTACGAGCAAGATTACTTCGCGGTGGTTAAATCAGACGCACGTACAGAAACTTCGTAGCATTTATTCTATTTTACAATTTCTCATTATCAAATGTAAAACAAAACTGGAGTTTTTTTTACCTGACTCGAACTAAACTAACATAGTTGAGCTATGGAACGTATGGAATTATGCAGGCTCTTGCTGTTGTGTCAGAACCAGAGCGCATGCATACATCTTCGTATGCAACTCGGGGGGGTTCTTCCTCCAGGCGAGCTGTCCTATCTAGCAGCAGGCCCTCAGGGGCATCAGCAGAAGTCGTAGATTCCTCTCGAACAGGGAGCAGTAAGCTTGGTCCCACCAGCTTACGGTCGTCAGCAGGGATGCAGAGGAGCTCTCCAGTTACTTCGGACCCAAAGCGGATATCTAGCCGCCATCCACAACCGCCATCTGCCAACTTGAGGATTTACGAAGCCGCTATCAAGGGAGTTGAATCACTTTCTGTTGAGGTGGATCAAAGCCGTTATAAGTAGGCCCAGGCTTGTGGTTATATAGCCGGGCTCTGTCTTCTATCAAACCCTCTTGTTATGTAGATGAGAGTTGCTCTACATTTGGCAACAGCCTGATTGAGGGGAAAACGGTGGTTCTGTCCTACAATGGTGCTAAGACTACAGGTCTCTCATACTTAGGAATGAATGGATCTCTATCTTGTTACCATCAAACCATTGTCAGTGCTTTGTGTGGTAGCTCTCTGCCATACGATTCCTAAGGAAATAATCATTAGATTGCAGCAGAAGCAACCAGCATGCTTGCCGGCTTGTGAAGCTTTTTATCACTAAACCATAATCCTTGCCAAGTAACGTACGAGGATGAAGTCTAGGGAGTGAGAATCTCTCCCTTGGTAGTATGTTCACTGCTTGCAGCCATTAGCTTGTTGCTAACCTGTACATATCATAACTTGGAGTTATGTAATGCAAATCTATTGGAGTTTACTGGCTTACATGTGATGTGATCTGATGTGATCTGATTACTATTTTAAAAATGGTTCTTACTTTGTATTTATAACGATACCAGCGGATTATGCTGGTTCACAAATCTTCTTGTTAGGAGAGAGTTCATGTAGTACATGCATTTTTTAATAGTTTAATTGTTGCATGGGTTTGACGTACAAGAGTACTGTGTCCAATTTGAGGACTGCAATGCTGCATTACACGCAAATGCATTGTTTTATCGACTTGAAAGAGAGTGTGATCTGAAGGAGCACGTGGGCTTACTTGGCTTACGTTTGGGTAGTCTGGCGGATGTCCATGGCTTCGTTGCATATGATGGAAATTCAGGAACAGATACTAACTTCTCGTGGGTGATAGATGTGTATTTTGACCCAAAGCATGCAGTTTTTATGATTTGAAATGGTTTCTGCAGTTGCACCTGCAATGAATAGAAATGGGTTCTGTATTTACTGAGGAAATCAGGTGTAGTTGCAAATGTACTAACTCGTGGCTGTATGGGTGTTCAATCCAGTATCTGGTTAAAATGTCTCGTCATTCGGTGAACCTTGGTCTGCTGTTTGGGTACAGAACTGCTGAGGATTATGTGATTCCACATTACCAAGTTTCAACCGTCCCCCCTCACATACCCTTACTATGTCTGCAAGCTTCTCCCGTTTAGCTTTTGAGGGGTCAATTTTCTTAAACCCAATTTTTGTCGCAACTTTCAAATATTGTTTGTACGAGTTATTTTTCACTGATTATTCTGCCATTGAAGATGAATGTCAAAAAATGAACAGGTCTTTTTTATAGCAAATTTTTTCAGCACTTGGAAGATTTCAAACTTTTTTTCCTTGTGCACTCTATTCTGTACGAAATTTGGTTCTCAATAGCTGAAGAATTTTCATTCATCTTCAAGTTGATGGAGTTCTAGGAGCTGAAACTGTCTACCCATGTAACGTATCGTGATGATATACAATTGAAAAATGAAGCAGTATGTATGGAGAAGATAGAAACAGATTAAGACGGAACAACATTTTTCTCTTCTCAACGAGCATGACATGGATCACATCAGCTCATGGGTCTAAGCCAGAACGAATTGTTTTACTGTGTCACGTGATGTATGAGAGTAGTAGCAAATTATCTTGTAATTTCGCATTTAGCAACAGAAGAGTATTCAGACATGCCAGTTAAAGCAAGAGTTAACGAGCGGAGACGAAATGTTTTCTCTACTGTTGTGGATAAGATATCTCCTGAAATAAAAATATCTACCGTGGGTTGGTTGTATCCATTTCTTCCTTTCCCTGTTTACGTAGTGGTGGTGATTAGAAAAGTAGTATTTTCGATATCTCGGAGTGTGACGCATTTCCTAAGATTTCAAATCATAAAATCTGGCTCAGCGCTCAGACCAACATCCTCATGGCCAGTGCAAATGTTCAGTGGTAAACACACCATCTCACTCATTGCAGCCACAATAGGTAGATAGTTCCCGATAGATTAAAAAGCCCCGTCTTACATTGCTAAAGATCTATGATACAATTCTCAATCACAGCGACATGTTCATGTCAATAGTCTAGTTCCCGGGAACGAAGTTGGTGGCGTAGGCCCATGCGTTGTTGGCAACGGGGTCGGCCAAGTGGTCGTTCAAGTTCTCCAATGGGCCCTTTCCGGTCACGATAGCCTGAACGAAGAATCCGAACATCGAGAACATGGCCAATCGCCCGTTCTTGATCTCCTTCACCTTCAACTCAGCGAAGGTGTCGGGGTCGTCAGCCAAACCCAAGGGGTCGAATGAGCCTCCGGGGTAGATGGGGTCAGTCACCTCACCCAATGGTCCACCGGCAACACGGTAACCCTCAACAGCTCCCATAAGGATAACCTGGCAAGCCCAGATGGCCAGGATGCTCTGAGCGTGCACAAGGCTGGGGTTGCCCAAGTAATCAAGACCACCCTCGCTGAAGATTTGAGCTCCGGCCTTGAACCACACAGCTTCACCGAACTTCACACCGCTCTTCGCCAACAGCTCAGGGGTCACGCACCCCAAAGCTCCGAGCATGGCCCAGCGGGCGTGAATAACCTCAAGCTCCCTGTTGCGGGCAAAGGTCTCGGGGTCGGAGGAGAGTCCAGCGGTGTCCCATCCGTAGTCACCAGCGAACTCACCGTTAAGGTATGAGGGGGTCTCACCGGAAAATGGGCCCAAATACTTGGGTCTGTCAGCTCCATACCTACATTGTTCACAGCAATGTTAACCTGGTTAGCGATTAATGTCACACCATTACCGGACATATTATATTAATGAGCCACCCATTATCAGAAACGCGGCAGGAACCATGTGCAAATGCTCGACAACAGCTAACTAATCAACAACAACTGCACACTGATCGCAGATACAAAAGCAACCAGCGCGACTCAATAACGCACCAGATGCTATCGCTACCAGCGGACTTGTTCACGGTCCTGCGCATGGTGACGCGGGCCTGGCTGGAGCCGACCTTGCGGGAGAGCTCATTGACAGGCTTGAGCAAGGATTGCCCAGCCAAGGCAGTGGAAGCGCAAGCGGTACAGGCGGCCATAGCTACAAGAGCAACAACAATCAACTACACCAGACCACTGCAGATGGGAGCGAAACTGAACAATGACAATGTTGGAGTCGAGGAGGTTATTTAAAGGAACATGAGGGAGGCGAAGGCGATCAAGGAGGATGGAGCTAAGCTGGGTGCCAAGTGGATAAGATGCGATCCGAAGAGGTTTCTAGTGGACTCCAAGTCAAGTACCGCGAACTGAGGGTTTTGCTGGTGGCCATGGAACGGGCGACGCTACGCCGCACAAACTAACGTCCGTTTGCTGCCCCTGACTCCACCTCCATCATGGCGCTCGACAGGCATCGTCTCCTCCTCAGAAAGAAAAAAGGAATCCCAGTCCTGAATGAAAGAACTAGTCGCGCTTCTTCGTCGTCTTTGTCTTCTTCGTCGTTGTCTGCCCTGCCGCGCCCAGCCAGCCACACATGCAGCGCCTTTCGCCATGGCCATGGCTTTTGCGAACAGATTTTTCCTCGCTGCGCCGTTCTGTTGTCTCATGGGCGCGAGGGGGCCACAGCTCTCACACTTATGCTCCCAGAAGATTGACTGTTGTTCCTCTTCTTTTTCCTAAAGCCTGTTGAGGGATTTCTCTCTTTGGATTCGTTTAATATGTCATTCGAGAGCCATTGCATTGATTGAATCCTTCTTTTTTTATTTATATTTCCCAAAGTGTCTCTTCTTTTGAATGTGGTGTTGTCTTTTATAGATTTTATGTGGGAACATATGTAGATGAATGTTTGCATAACTAATGGTGCATATTACTGAAAGGTTGATATTGACTTAAGTTGAAAAATAATTGATATATTTTTTTTGTTCCTCTTTAATATTTTTGTATATTTAAATGTTAATTATAAAATTAATAAATTAGTGATTTATTTATTTATTTTTTGTTATTCTAAGATCCATATAATAATATGATTTTTTTATCCAATTTTTATGATAAAACAACTTAGGTCTCAGACAATGACATAAAAAGCCTTTTTATTGGTAAAGACAAAGAAGTCTATTTATTGGCAAAAATTTAAAATTTTATAAGATAAATAATATTGACAAAAATCAAGCATTGGAAAAAAGAAGTGGAATATAATATCTACCATACCAGTGGAATATAATATCTATACCAACAATAATATCTCTTATTCATCTTAAATTTATTTTCCTATAAAGATCATTTTTAAGCTTACAATAAAAAAAATCATGGATTAGTATCAACAACTTTGAATGATGATGCAAGCTCCAAAAGTTGATAGCACATTCTTTCTTGTTGATGAATTGATAGTTACTCAAATGTGCAACTAATACTATTGAAGATCATTTGAAGATCTTTAGAAGATGCAAATGTATTTGTTGCTAGTAATGAAGGTATTAAACCAATAATATTTATCAAATAATATTGAAGATAAAAATTGTCCATTGTCAAAATATCTCCATTATAAACTATAATTAATATCTTATGCTTATATATTATTCCTAATGTCTTTGTCTATGTGCCTACATAAGAATTGTCATCGAATATTTTTTTTTGTATGTTTAAATTAATCAAATCCAAAGTTAAAAGCATATATGAATATTCTTACATAACATTTGTAAAAAAAATAATATGTTGATAATATATGTGAAAGTAAATAAGTATTACCTAAGATAAGTTGCTAAAAGGTCAAAGGCAGCAAAGGTAAAAGTAAGTAACAATGGTGGCGACTAGGTTTATGATGGCAGCTAGGATTTAAGAGGCGGCTAGGTAAAGTGGCGGCTAGGTTAAGTGGCGACTAGGGTTTCATCAAATGGATGTAGATGAAGTTCAGCCATAGTAGATGTAAATTCCTCCTATAAGTAAAGGAAGTTGGAAGTGAGAAGAATCTCATTCCACACTTCTCTTGTGTGCACCCTTGCTGATTTTTACTTACTTGTATCTTACTTGTTGTGTTTCTTCAATAGGTTATGGGCCCACTCACACTTTGTTGTGCCATTCAAGTAAGTTAGTATCATTGTTAGGGACATATTCTTTAGAACTTTCTAGAAGAGAAGCCTCTGGAAACTTTTAAAGAGAAGTTTCTAGAAGCTTCTAGAAAGGAAGTCTCTGGAACCTTATAGAAGAGAAGTTTCTAGAAGCTTCTAGAAAGGAATCCCCTGGAACTTTCTAGAAGCTTCCTAGTTAATAGAAGTAGCTCGAGAAGTTTCTAGAACCTTCTAGAAAGGAGCCTCTGGAACCTTCTAGAAGCTTCCTAGTTAATAGAAGTAGCTCGAGAAGCTTCCTAAGTAGGAGTATATATAGGGATCGAGACTGAAGAGTTCTTCAGTCTCGACAACACATCTCTTGGAGTTCTAGCTCACCTTTCTGGTGTTGTTCTTGTACTCATCTGTTTAATCTAGTTCTGCCACTTCTTCTTGAACTTCTTGTTAGATTTCAAGTCTGTATTTTGTGTCCGTGACAATTTGTCGAGACTACACTAACTTGAGATATCAGAGCTAGTTCTTTCTTAGTAGAGTGTGGATTACCCGTCTACTTGAAGGTATACTAGCATTTTTTAGAGGTTGCGGATTACCCTCCTCTAAACTGATACTTCTTCTGTTACAATATCGGAGTCTTATTCTTCTTGGAGAGAGTAGATTACCCCTCTTCTTGAAATTCTTAAGGCATTTTATAGGTTGTGGATTACCCTCCTATAAACCAATATTGCCTCTTATAGGGTCATTTTTGTCCTTCGTTTAGAATGGCCGGAGGTCAAGACATTAGTATGACAGAAAGTTCGGAGTCTAAGTTAGATGCTATTATGAATGCCCTCGCTACGTTATCACAAAGAACTGCAGAGATTGAAGGAGTGGTGGCAAGGCTTCATAATGATGGAGTATCTGGGATAGCACAATCTAAATTACACCAGCCTCAAATTTCGGCACTTGGAGAAACAACTTTACCTCAGGTTCGACAAGAACCACTAGTTCTACAACATAAGGAGTCTCGAGTTAGCCTTCCAGATATGTTTGATGGAACACGTTCTAAGTTTCGAGGATTCGTCAATCAAATCAGGTTGATAACAGTTTTACAGCCCGAACGATATCCAACGGAGGAGTCACGTGTTGGGCTTGTTGGAACCTTACTTACGGGACAAGCTCTATCATGGTTTGCTCCTTTGTTTGAGAAACGATCATCCATATTAAACAACTTCGAAACCTTTTTGGAAGCATTTGCGGAAGCATTTGGTGAACACGATAAGATTCGATGGGCTACAACAAAGATCCGGTCGCTACGACAAGGGATGCGTTCTACATCAATCTATGCTTCGGATTTCAGGCAATTAGTATGCGACATCAATTAGGATGAAGAAGCGTTGATGAGTCAATTCTATTGGGGTTTAAAAGATGATGTGAAGAATTTGCTGTTAACTCTTCCTGATCCACGAATGCTCAATGAAGCCATTAGCCAAGTTGTGAAGTGCGATAATTGCTTATTCCAACATCGCCAAGATCAATGCTCAAGACAACATACTATTCGCCATGCTCCAACTATGTCGGCAAGCAGTGTAAATTCGCATTCAGAAGTGGAAGACATGCAAATTGATGCGGTACGTATCAAATCTCTTACTATAGAAGAAAAAAAGCGACGTATGGAAGAAAATTTATGCTTCTATTGCGGTGGAGAAGGCCACAAAGTCGAAAACTACCCCAAAAAGCAAAATCGAGGCATAGTCAAGACTAGGAGAGTATTTGTTCAGGAAAACGAGGATGCCCAGCCACAGTAGGAACCGTGCGGCTGGACAATGAAATATCCCAACAACAATCAGGTTCCTTTCTTTTTGCCCAACCTGCACTTTGTTTTACAATCCCTTTGTTTATCGGCCCTCAAAAACTGAGAACCTTAGCACTATTAGATTCAGGAGCATCTACTTGTTTTTTAGACGAAGAATTTGCAAAGCGTCATAAGATTCCTTTAGTACAAAAATCAAAACCTGTTCATGTTGAGGTCATAGATGGTCGACCTTTATTGTCTGGTAGCATCACCCATGAATCAAAACCTATAGAAGTAACGTTTAAAGACCATAGTAGTCATATTATTTTTAATATTATTAGAACCCCATCAAATCCTATTATTCTTGGTCTTTCTTGGTTGGAAAAATATAATCCATTGATAGATTGGAGGTTGCGGAAGATGACTTTTCCCACAAAATCATCAAAGAAAAAACCTAGTAAAAAACCTCGAAAAAAGAAACCCTTATTCATTTGAGCAAGAGCGTTTATAAGATCATCTAAGGAAGGCACTCCATTTGTCATTTATGCGGCTCCAACTACCGAGGAGAAGATCTCAACAGCAAGTATACCGGAGCAATATAAGGATTTTGAAGACGTGTTTCAAAAGAAGAACGCCGACATACTACCAGAACACGGACCATATGATTGTGCCATAGACTTGCAAGAAGGAGCACAACCACCTTTTGGTCCAATCTACAATCTATCGCAAACAAAGTTGGCAGAGTTACGAAAGTACATCGACGAGAATCTAGCCAAAAACTTCATTCGTCATTCAAAATCATCAGCTGGAGCACCCATCTTATTTGTGAAGAAGAAAGATGGATCATTACGGATGTGTGTGGACTATCGAGGCCTCAACAAGGTAACAAAGAAAAATCGTTACCCATTACCCTTGATTTCTAGTCTCTTAGAAAAACTTGGACGTGCGAAGATCTTTACAAAAATTGATCTAAGGGGAGCTTATAATCTCGTACGAATTAAGGAAGGAGATGAGTGGAAGGCAGCATTCCGTACAAGGTATGGTCATTTCGAATATAATGTCATGCCTTTTGGTCTTACCAATGCTCTAGCGGTTTTCCAACATATGATGAATGACATCTTTCGAGAACACCTCGACAATTTTGTTGTCATCTATTTGGACAATATTCTAATATTCTCTAAAAACGAGGAAGAGCATGAGGAGCATGTTCGTTTGATCTTGGAAAAACTACGCAAGCGAGGACTATATGCCAAATTAGAAAAATATTTATTTCACCAAACGGAGATGGAATTTTTAGGGTTCATTGCGACTACAGAAGGTTTGAAGATGGACCCCAAAAAAGTAGAAGCA